ATGTTTAGATCACCTAACCTAAAGTATCACTAAAATATCATTTTTCCCCTCGACCACTGTCATCATCATTCCTCGGTGTTTTCTGTTATCGAAGAGCAGAGATTTGCAGACTTCCATTCTTCTCGAATATTCCACCGTTTGCTTATGCCAATTACGGGTTCAGTCATCGTTCGATATGAATCCGACCGGGGCTTTCCACCGTGTTCCGGGCAAAGGAATGCTCTTTGATCGTGCCGACATATTCTGCGTGGCCATCTACGCATTGCTGCGATTATTCGGTCCTTGAAAAATTCGTAATATCACAGAACGTGATCCTTATTACCTGCAGATGTTTATGCAAAATTTAGCTGGAAATTTAGTCACCTAAAACTTTTACCTAAAATATCTCTGTTGCTTTTAATGATACGAAGATATGCCTTCAGAAGAAAATGTTTGATTCAGAGGGGAGCATATGACTGACAAACAAATTCTAGTCTTATAGCTACTGAAATGGCAAATTCAAACGTGATTATTCTTAGGTTATAATTATAATTATAGTTGTACAAGAATTATTTCTCTCTAGTAGAGAGTAGTAAAGAGTCACGAATGTAAACATCAGATGATCTTCGAAGAATATCTTTTGTTCGTTTAGGATGATAGTTTTTCAGACAAATTGGTTATGATAATAAAAATATATACCTGTCGAATATACACCTTCTCCTTTCCGAAATCGGTTAAAAAAAAAAAAGTCACTTTCTGACAGTTATTTTTATATATTTTTGCATTCGTGCACATTCTCACCGTATGCCCATATTTTCATAAGCCCTAAATACATAGTCACACTTATTACACTCGTACACCCGACCCTTCCTGGAACAACATCGAGAAAACCTCAACAAGAACTCAACAAGAACTAAAATCAAAAAATCTAGATCGTTGAAAGGTCGAATTAATCGAGTGATTCGTTTAATTTTATCCGTCCGCGCTCTGTAGCTACCCTCTCGCCCCTCGCCGCCCTCTAAAAAAAAAACAAACATTTCAATAACCCGTTTCCGCTCGTATGCTTTGACATAATTTCGCGGGAGCGGGTTACATCAATTTCCAACGTTCCAATCGGCCGCGTCCGGAGGACGCTCTGGCAATTAGCGAAAAAATTCGCGCCGTAATTTCATAAACGGCCCGCGGAAAGTAATAAAAAACCTTTGGCTGGCGGACAAGGGCGACGGCGGGATGGTGGAGGGGGGGGGGGGGGGCGAAAAGCTCGATACGGTCATCGGCTCGCTCGAACGTGGAATTCTTAACGTTGGATTTTAATCTCGAAAACGGGAGTTCCATCGTGCTTACGACCACCCGAAAAACACGGTCGCCGGATTCACCGGGGAATCGGATGTCGACGTGTATATACGTGTACGCTAGAGAGAGGGAGTGAGGGGAGGGGGCGGGGCGAACCGGTGCGCCACGTCGACGATTTTAATATCCGCGAATGATAAACAAAGTGGTATCTAACGAAGTGGATAGAGGCGCGCCCGTAATAAAATTTGTGTTCCGCTTCGTCGCGGCCAAGCAGGAGGTAAAACGTCACGAGCGGTTTCCTCCGATTTCAATTACCTCCCGGGGGGCCTCGTCTGCATAGGTATCCCGGTTTCGAGTGACGCCGCGAGGACATCGAGCAGGTCCTTTGGTTAGTTTTTAGGTCCTGTGCAAGGCTAGACATTATATTTTCTGGAGGGGAGTCGAGCAAAACAGGATATTTAATTATTTACTCAGATGGATCGAAAAATGGCGAGCTCCTCCAACTCGTCCCCTTTCGAAAGAACGACCCATCGATTTATTGACATCGAATGGTTCAAGAGTCTAAGCTGCGAAGACCTAGCAAAGACCAGACGAGAATAATTAGACACCGGAGGATCTGCGATATCAATCTCCACCTTTCGTTACTGTCAAAACATGTTTCGTAGCATTCGAAAACGAATCGCAGGACTGGTCGTGTAGGAAAAACGATCGACTTTCAATCCCAGGATCGTGGGGGTTCGAATCTCCCGAGAGTGCCTCTTATTTTTCGTTCCCACTACCTACGGGTTCGCTAAAGAATCCTAACGCGATCTCTTCGACGCAACGAGAACGCGAAACACCGAAAATGGAGACCATGCTTTCCGAGAAAAAAAGAGTAATCAACGGGGGGGGGGGGGAGGACACCACGTGACCCCCGGGGTCCTGCGTCGCGATTCGCTGCGGTGGAAATATTCCACGCTACTCGCGATTCAGCGAACGACAGAACGCGTGTCGTGAAGTTAAAACTGCGGAGGAAAGATTCGATGTGGCGAGGGGGGGTGGGGGAGGGGCGAGTGAGGGCGGTGAGGAGGGTCGGAGGAAAAGGGAACGGCGGAAGGGAAAAGAGGGACGAGGAGAACGATAAGGGAACGCGTGGGCGACGGAAAGAGAGAGACGAACGACCGAACGAACGCGAGGAAGGAGAAGACCAACGTATGGTGGCGGAGAGGGGTGGAGGGAGGGGGTGGAAGAGGGATGGAGACAGTTTACTGGGGAGGGTGAGACCCCACAAAGGCAGTGGGGCTCTTTTGATTCGCGAGCTAATTGGAATGCCGCGGATGCCAACGACGATGGTACTGGGGGTTGGGTTATCCCCTCGTACGGAGGAGTGGGGGGTTCACGGGGGTCTTGGAAGTACCGGTGTAACCCAGCGATAGGCGGAGCTTACATCTCGCGCATGGGGTGTAGCTCCAGATATCGAGGCTTATCACCTATCGCTCTTTTCTCTCGTCGATTTTCATACGCGTTCTCCGCGCCCCGAGATTTTCCTTCGCGGATTATTTCGAAACGTACGTTTTAATAGGATTGAACCCACCTGACGTTGCTGCGGTTTGGGGACGCTTATGCGATTAATTGATTTGGATTAGGAAGAGGAAGACTTGGAAAATTGTCTACGCAGAGATTGCGATGGCTGCTGATCACTGGACCGAGCATTTTTGTGCATTTATGGGAGATTTAAATGTGCAAAATACACACAGTATGCAGTGATATAAACAAGATTGAAAATAAAGTTCATGTTATAATATCTGCGGGTGGAAACATATTTTTATTTAGGTTCAATTTTTGTAGGTACGTTTGCAAAGATTTAATTGCATAAAATACACACGGTATACTATAATATAAAATATATTGAAAATAAATTTCACATCACAATATTTGCAAAGTAAAATATATTCCTGTCTAGTCTAAACACTAATCGCACATTCTGTGTTCCAGTACTGCAATGCTAGATCGGATATGACAATATAATATAAATCATACGAGAGCACGTCCACGACTCATCCAAACTGATTCGTACCGTGAGATCAAAGAAATCGATATCGCCTACCGCGACGGTGTGATAGCGAAGTCCGTACGATTCTCCATCGAAGGTTTGCTTTCTTTGTAGCCCTTTGACATGGGTCGACGGCTAATTTATCACGGACGACAAAAGGGGTGCGCGTAACGAGCGAATATTAGTTACCAACGTCATCCACGTCAGATTTTTCCGTGACAGTGTCACGTTTGCGTGCGTGTACAGGAAATCAACGACTACAACGTTCTACCTGTTTCGCTTATTGTCGTCCACTTCATGCTGGACTCGACGTTTATGGAGGCTGGAGTCACCGTCATAAGGAAAGAGTACGAAACGTCGTAATATTCAATCTGAAAAATGTTAATTCAGTCCAATTTGGAGGGAACGTCGCTGGAAATAATTGTTATCGTGTTTTTGGCGGCAGCGTCCGCCTCCCTCCTCGCCGCAGCTCGTACCGCAATAAATAATATCCGCTTTGGACGGTCCGATAGAATAAAGATATTAAGTTTAATTGTACAAAGCTCGGGGCTTCCGCTCGCTAGAGAGCGACAGAGTTTCAGCGCGTTATTAATATTTAAACAAAAGCTCCGCTGAGAGCTTCTGCCTTTGTGGCTCGGCAAAAAGCCTGCGCCACTCGCCTCCCGCGGCCCCCCTCCGCCCCCTCTTGTAGCGAGGCAAATAAAATCCCAGAAAGAGCGCGAGGCTCATTACTAATTAATTACTAGCAATTGGAAGAAGAAAACAAGCCGCGAGAGGGAGGTTTTCGAGGAGCTTAATCGTTGCCTTACCCTTGACTGAAATAACTTTGCCGCCATTTTCACCGCGATCGACCTATAATGAAAATAAAACCGACGACGGTACTTGTCTTTAATTAAGGTTACTCGAAGCTTTTCGAGTCGAGAATAAAACGGACAGAAACAATTGGAGGAAGCATTTACGTTTCGATGAGATTTTCGATTGCTAAGTTTGAAGAAAAATAAAGTATTTATTACACCGTTAAACTCGGTTCAATAAATTAATCGACGCGTCCTCAGGAAAGGTGAAACGACGATGGAAATTGTTTTTATATAAATCGTGCATGAAAATGGGTCTTAGTGTGCGAGTTAGGACGGAGCGAGAAAGAATATGACGTTGTGTGTGAGTTCGCGATCTAATTTCATATTTCATTTCTTATGTTAAATATATTATCATTTATTAATCAAATGTGTGTCATCCATCCGACCTATCCCTTAGTTCGATCAACGTTAACGACCCCAAGCAAGGATGTAAATGTGCGAAGGACGAGAAGGAAAAAGATTGACTCGCCACGTATAGATTCGAAGATTTATTTCCTTTTTTTTTTTTGCAACATGTACGCGTACGTGTACACAAGAAACATTAGTGGTGTTACGTATATACAATCGATTTTTGTGCGTCGGTGCCGAAGAAACGTGGTTAGAAGGTCGTCACAGCGAGGACGAGAAGCGGAGGACGCGTTCGACCCAAATCAAGTGTAGCTTCGCCTATATGTACAGTGGTGTCGGTGCTCTCGCAGAATCTGGTTGCGGACAACGCACAGTTAACATCTACTCGAGGACAGTTACAAAAATATATATTACACAACCAGTTAGGAGGTAAAGGATCGGATAGAAGTATTACTACGTCGCGACGCTCTCTAAGTTCTCGCACCCGACGAAGGGGTGCCTTCAAACGCATTCGATCGGATACAAACTCGTAACTACATCCCACGCGAGCTAGCGCAGGAATACCTCGAAAGATCGCAGGATAACTCGTCGCGCTGGACGAGCATCTTTTGAGGTTAGGATCGACTGCTCGGACTGGTCGGGTTCTTCCAATGAAAATGGGCCCAAACACGGCCTTACTAGGACCCTAGGACCCTAAGCGGAATTAGAGACGAAAGACTTTCACGTGAATTTTCAATGCTTCCAGGTCTTCGGCGCTTGCACGACATCACAGGTTGCCGGACGTGGTTTGATGTATTCGAGACTCTAGTTTGGGAGAATCCAGGTGTTATTCCTCGTAACGAGTCCCGCGCGGAATATCGTGGGACGTGTGCACGGAACGTTTCATCTTCTCTGGGAACACGTCCGCAGCTTTCCTGTGGTACCTCGACGAGGACCTCGAGTAATCGTTCGAGAGGTGGTCGAGCTGGTTATGCTCGGCGACTTCGTAGATCGGTGGGGAATTGACTTCCCTCGATCTGCGCTGTTTACTCGAGTAGGGGCTCGAGGAGACGTCGTTAGGGTCCTTCGATGAGTGCCTGAGGCTGCTTCGGCCGTAGTACGCCTGATCGTGGATGTCGGGCTCGTCGCCTAGAAAACGAGAAGGAATCATGAGAATGAAGCACTGGGGGACAGGATCTCTGTGACGGGAAGAGTAAAGGTTTGAGTGGTTCGAGAATCTAGATTCTGGGGACCTAGGAAGACTAGGCAAGGATAATTAGACATTGGAGAAGAGGATCTCTGTGACGGGGACAGTACAGGTCTGAATGGTTCAAGAGTCTAGGCTCTGGGGACCTAGGAAGGCTAGCCAAGGAGGACCTAGGATGTCTAGATTCTCAAAACCTAGCAAGGCTAGACATGCAAGACCTAGGAATTCTAGACTCTGGAGACCTAGCAAGACTAGACAAGACTAACCAGGACCTAAGGTTCAGGACAGAATCCGTGACAGGAAGAGCAGAGCTCTGAATAATTCAAGATCCTACGCCCTAGAGACCTAGCAAGCCCAAACCCAAGCACAAACCCAGTGGCAAATAGAAGAGCTCACCGATTGGTCCCTTGGCAGGAAAGTTCGAGCGGTCATCGAACCTGCAGTTGTTCTTAGGAGGCTCGCTCTTCTTATTCGACAGGCTACCACAGCGATTGCACTTCTTGAGTTTGCCCAACTCGGACTCTATCAGGCGGTCCATTTCTGGTTTTGTGCGGGCTCGTCGAGGCTGGATTGGCATTGCTAAGCCATCGTAGCGATCAGACTCGCCTCTCGAGGGAGGCGTCCACTGATGATAGTCCGCGGCTGATCGTCTCGTAGGACTCTTCAGGGACGTCGGGACGAAGTCTTCTTCTGACGGGGCCGGGGAGACGTCGTGCTCTGCGACGTTGTGGTAGTACCTAAGCACAGTGACGTTTCAAAGTGTGGATACTAACAGACTAGTAACAGCATCGACAATTTCTGATGGTATACTAGGTCGCTATACTGACCTGGGAGATGAGGAATGTCCTTGGCCTTGAGCCGATACGCACTGCTGATGGCAGTGTCTTCGGGGGTCCTGCTGCTGTTCAGAGTGTCTCCATCGTTGTAGCCTCAGCAACGCCTCCTTCTTACCTCTCTTGGCTCTGTAGGTCTGCGGCGCGTCGGATTCCTCGTCTACCTCATCGTCAGCCTCCTGCTCGTCGTAGTCCTTGGCCAAGAATTCGCCTGCTTCGTCCTCTGTCATAGCAAGGTCTAGATATTACCACTCATGGGCTCATCTGTTCGTGGCGAGCTTTTCCGACCCAACAGACTAATGTGTCCCTCAACGTTTGTCCCTCACAAAGCCAGGTTCACCTGTAGCTTCTCCCTCCACGTCTTCTTCAGCGTCCTCGGTGAAGTTCCCCAATTCCTCCTCGAAGTAATTTCGTTTCTCGTTGTTCCCCGAATCCTCGTCGTAGCGATTTTTCCTCGAGAAATTAACGGCGTACTTGTCTCTGGGGAGTTTGGAATGACTCTGGGGACCGTGGCGCGACACGTCAGGACCGTGGGAAGACGTGTACTTGGGGCAGACTTGACCGGAACACGCGTGAGTCCTCGGTGGCTTGTAAGCAGTCAAAAAGGAGTAGCTCGCCAGGGCTTCGGGGCTCCTTGAGAAAATATAAAATTCTTTTGCGTGAGAAACCGTGCAAGGTATTGCGGGATCAGCCACTTATTGTTCAGGACAGCGCTGGGCGTCGGGATCTTTTCAGCGCACGGCGAGCACGCAAACTAGTGGCGCTAGTAGTCATCCACCTGTGACGTCACTAGTTTATTCGCAGTGCACTGAAGCAGTCGTGATTTCATTCACAGACGTGTAAATAACCAAGAAATATTTTAGTAAAATCGACGGTCCTTTTTAAGACAATCTAACGTTACACACCTGCTACCCCTGCCATGAGGAGGATACTGACTCTTCTTCTGCTGATGGTTCCAATACACGTCAGGCGAGTTCCTGCCGTCGGGAAGCGGCTGCATGTACTTCGATTTATGACATTCTACTTGCTTCATGGTTGCGATTGTCTCCTCCAATCTCTACAAGAACCGTTCAAACGTCCACCTTTGCGCGCGTTCTAAAAGAATTTACATATCCACAAGGTTTCGTACGTCGCGTTATTATACCACGATATCGTCCAACACTGTCAAGACATTTGAAAGAAATTATGGACACTAATTTCGTTACACGAGTCAGGGTCACTAGATTGTCTCTTAAATATTCGAGAAGCTCTTCCAGCTTCTCCAAAGTTTTTTTTTTATATCAGATTGAACGATCGAGGATCGTCAGCCGGGGTTAGTTCCGCGTGGAACACACTGATCACACTTCCTCGAGATCTACAAGCGTCCTCGAGCAAGGCTTCGCGTCGCACGAAGCTGGAGCCGCCGGCTTCTACGTGTAATCTAGAACTGTTCTTCGACTGCTAGCTACTTCAAGCTAGAATCGTCACCCGTTACCTTATTCTAGCTAGAACTGTTCCTTTTCGGTTTGGACTCGAGGGACGTGACCCTCGGGGAAACGGAAACAACGGTGTCCGGATGCCTCGAGGACGTCAGCGCTGTCAGCTCGTCCTCGATCGCGTTCGAGGCGAGACTTGGAAGGTACCTAGGATCGAGGGACGCGCAGGGTGGGATGAGGAAACGTTCACGATCGAGGAGCACGAAATCCTTTCACCATTTGTCGGTTTCGTTGCTGTCCTCGTGCTCCAGCGAGGAGGTCAGCGTGCGCTGGAACTCGTGCACCCTCTGGCTCTGCTGCTCGTGGTGGTGCTTCCGCCACTTGATCCGTCGGTTCTGGAACCAGACCTTCACTTGGGCCTCCGTCAGCCTCAGTGCGTGCGCCAGGTACAGACGTTCCGGGCCCACCATGTACTGTTGACGCGCGAATTCACCCTCCAGCCGCTCCAGTTGCTCGGCAGTGAAGATCGTTCGCACCCTCTTCAGCTTACCACTACCGCTGGAACAGGAGCTCGAGCCACTGTTCTTCGTTCCCCCTTCCTGGCCTGGAATCGACAGATCATAAACTGATATGCTAAATCGAATTTTACAACGTTACAAACTGCGTTCTTTGCCCATTTTAGCGTTACGGATATCATAACAACGGTAATTTAATTTATTCGCTGGAGTTTTTCACGGAGGTAAATTCTTCGCGCGAAAAGGAATGGTAAAGTCCTTTACCGTTTCGCAATCGAACGTTTCGTTATGGAGATATTAGCGGTTGAAGTTTGCTGAAACAGCACGCGCCATTTTTGTTACCCGTCAGCTGATCGCGTGATTACGCATGCGCACACGCGTCACACGCGCGAAACTTCAGCTGCGTGTATCTCGGTAGCGAAACGTTCGATTGCGAAATTGTAAAGGAGCTTTTTAATTAGTATCAACATGGAAAATTGATCCTAGAAATATGTTGCATATTATTGTTACGCAAGGAACAATATTCTTCGTTTCAAAAGTAGTATCCTTGATTGCCTTTATTCAGTTTTCGATTCAAATATGGAGAGAATCTTTAACTCGTCTAAATTGTGAAAAGATTTTGTTTTTGGAAAATCTAATCGTCACGCGTCATTGGAACGAAATTTTCAAAGTTATGAAGAAACAGTATATATACATGTCGAATCGAGTACCCTCCTCCTTTTTCGAAGTCGGTTAAAAAGGTTATGGAAACGTCAGAATCTATACCTTGCGACAAGAACCAGGCTGCGACTAAGTAACCAAAGATCTCAGAACGTTGCTACTATCGACGAGTTATTACAGTTCGCAATAACTGTCGATCGCTGCCACGACGAACAGGAATTTTTCAAAATGCGATAAATCAGCACAAAAATTTTCACCGAACCACGTAGCGATCAACTATCGACGCAATATTTTCTACTCGCGTTTGTTTTGGATTGACGTTCGCGCGAAGTTAGCAAGCTGTGTTCTTTGCCTTTCGATGCCAATCTCAGGTGTTACAAAAATCATTCTACAGAGCGTAGAATAAATCAAACTCGATACTACATAAATTTAAAAAGAGAAACGATCGAAATACCCTGATGCTTCTTGTACTGTTGCTGCTGGCTGCGTTTCTCCCTGGGATTGTTCCTCAGCCCGAGGATCGCGTCTATAGTGAAGGACTTGGCTTGTTGTTGCTGTTGCTGCTGCGAGTGCTGCATCTGAGTGATGGAGTGCGGATGAGGGAGGTGCGAGGATAGATTCTGTGCTGACAGATCGGTGCCAAGCAGATGGGAACGTCTCATGCGGTCCAACGCGATCGCCTCGAGATTCTGACTCCTGGGCTGCACTTGAACGCTCTTGAACTCGTTGTGCTCCAAAACGGGAGGACTGTCCAGCATCCCAGCGCCTCCGCGCAGTCTTTCGAGAGCGAAGTTCCCGATGTGACCGTCCCTCGTTCTGTCCAACGAAAGACTGAACTCCTTCATCCGATCCAAGCTGTAATTCTTCAGCAACCCGAAATCCTTGATGTCCTTCTCGGACACCGCGAAACCGAGGTCCTTGCTGTACCTGTCCAGCGCCAGTGCAGCGTGAACGTTCTTCTGTCTGCCTTCGCGGAAATTGAACAGGAGATCCTTGGCCGTCGGATTCTTGGACCTGCAGAGGCTCGTGGTGTCCATCGACTCGTCGTTCTCGCTGGATCTGTCCAACGGGTAGCCCATTTCGTTCAGACTGTTCGCTATGTACCCGAAGTCCTTGCCTTTGTTGAGCGTCATCGGGAGATTCCTCGCGGTGGTCTCGAACTCCTCGAAGCGGATGGAGGTCCTGCCGGGGTCCAAGCCCAAGTGAAAGTCCTTCGGCTCCGACGTCTCCTCCTTCGACTTGCCCACGGAAAGGTTCAACTCCTTCACGCGTTCGTAGTCCTGGAACGCTCTCAACTGGGTCTCGGAGTGGCTGCTGTCGCTCCTGCAGTCCGACAGGTCATCGACGGTGAGGCGTCCCGACGGATCGCACGACTCCATCGTCAGCGACGATCCTTTCGGTAACTGAACTCCCAACGAGTCAACTGAACTTCACGGAAAAAAGTCCGGAGTCAACTATCACGGTTATATTTATCCCTCGCTAGACCGATGCCGGACACTGTCATGCGAGTCCCATTGTTATCGAAGCGATCTCTCAGGATCGGTTTTCCCCGGGCGAGACTCGTGTCACTGCACCACTCTGTCACAAGTCCGTCAGACGGAGGAGCCCCGTGGACCGGCGTCACGCGTCCAACGACATCATCGAAACGACCGGTCGAAAGGGTCGCGGAGTTCTCGAACCGTCGGCGGAAACGGGAAAAACGCGAAGGACCGCACCGAAACGACGACGGGGGCAGCTCGGAAGGATGGCCGAACCGCGCTGGCGCTGCACAGCATCCCAGGATAATGATGTCAGGCACGAGGATCACCGCTATCAGAGAGGGTTTGCCAGCAGGACTAAGGATATCCGGCTAATGATCCCGTACGTGACGAGGGGGGTATTCACCCGGCCTTGCGCACCACCCCCCCCTCTCCCGTGTAGCCGCTCTCCTAACAATCAGTCCAGCATCGCGTTTCACCTCCGCAACCCCCAAATGGACCGCAGAATACCCCCTCGCCGCCGTCAATATTTTTTCGTTCGACGAAGGAAGCCCCTAAGCGCGGCCACCAGGCGAGCACCGGTTGGTCGAGTCCCTCCACCACCCCTCCGCCGCGACACGCCCACCAGGAAGCATCGTGGGAGGGGGGTTATTTGCGGGGAGTCTGTTACTTTTTTTCCACCCTCCGCCTCAAACCACCCAGCCAGGGATCCGAGCGGCAGCTCTCAAGGCTCGTTCTTCCCCTCGTCCTGTTCTAGGCCTTCCAACCCTCCCTCTTCCCCCCTTCGCGAGCCCCATTAATAAGCTTTCCTCTGTAGACCAACGCGGCTTATCCCCCCTTCCCCTCCACCGCCACCTTCCCTTCGACACACGGACACGGAACGCGAGGAAGAGGATAAACTCACCAACACGGAAGACCACCGTTCCGCGTACCGGCTCTTAGCCTTCTCGGCTCGTCGACGATGTCATCCGCGTCTAAGACGTTCCCTGTAATTAGGTGGCCGTTCTAATGATGATGAGGTCGTTTAATTTTGTCCCGGTGATCTTTCTTGCGTTGTCTCGGATCGTGCCACCGCCACCCGCTGATGAATTCACTTGCCGGGAGGACCGGCCCCGATAGGCGACCTCAGAGCTAAGCATCAGAGACCAATGAAGCATTTTGGAACGTTTGGCGGTCAGTTTGCTAGGTGTCCCGTCAAATCCATTGACCCTTTGCACTCGAGGAATTTTTTCCTGGTATCTATCGGCAACTCGAGATGTTTTCTCAGCATTCTATTGCCACTGACATTCGTTTTATTGATACTTCGAGTTTTAAAAGAATTACGCCCAAATAAACATTATTGCTGGTTGATTTACTGTAAATTATTTACTGCTCCGAACCTAGAGGTGACTGAGAGTTACCTGTCGAGCGCAAAGGGTTAACCCTTCTATTGCCACGAATGCTAAGATTATATTGATTTTGAAAATGAGATCTCTAATTTGAGATTTGAGATTCAGTCTTTGCCTCAACGACAGTCGTTTTATTGGCACTTCGAATTCCAAAGAAATTATACCTAAAGAAAACCTAGTGGTGCCCGAGGGTCACTTCTGGAGTGCAAAGGGTTAATCCTTCGATCCTTCGGTGCATGGAAGATGCGTTTAGAGTTGATGAACTGTGATGTTCGACACGTGCTCCGATGTTTAATATTGGATTGCGTGATGATATTCCAAGTTGGATTAATTAGCTGCCTATCTGGCCGCAAATAGTGGATAGGATTGGCGACGTGTACCTACGTGCGCCTGGTGCTTCATAGAGACTGGCGTTGGCACTTAGGTTCCCCGTTACGCAATTAAGTTAATAATAATGCACTCGCCGCGTGACGCAACAGCGACGTCTTCCGACCGTTCGATTGAACGTCGCGTTGTTTACAAGTGTCGTACATTTTCAGCAAGCACGGTTCGCCTAATTGGCCCCCTTTCTAGACCG